TCCCTCCAGGTGGCCATGGTTGCTACCTGTTTCTTGCCCTTCTTCCCAGAGCTCCTGCTCAGCATCAAGGAACAGATGACTGGTGGGGGATGATAAGAATGTAACAGGTCCATGGTCACAGAACCTTTCCCTCACTACCCAGGGGTTGGTGAGGCAGAGCAGATGCTGCAAAGACAGGGGGGCTCAGAAAGCATTGGTTTACTTCTGCTCCCATATCTCGTTCCACCTCAGAAGTCCTATGATTTGGCTTTGGGGTCCCCATTTCACAGGTGGAGACATCAAGATCCATGGAGGGCCAGCTTCCAGGAGGGTCAAGCTTGAACCCAAGTCTTCATGCTGTACATGGACCAGGGATGGTCACTAAGGGCTTTCCCGGGGACAGAACACTGAAATAGTCCATCTGCACCTTGTTTACCTGTGATACCATCTGAAATAGGTGGTAGTGGGCTTATCCCTACTTTTCCAGAATGCAAATAAGCCTAGGTCACCTAAACAGTTAGGAAAGGGCAAGTTCATTTTTGCTGAGGAGAAGCATGCTGGGAGATCATGACACCCAGCAAGGGCTCACTCAATCTGAGAAGCTCTATGGCTCTGGCTTCTTCATCTCCAAATGGCTTCCAGGGAGGCCCCTCCTCCCAGGGCTGGGTGCCAGGCAGGCCATCTGCTTCTGGGGCCTGCTGCCCCTCCCACAGCCACTGCCTTCCCCCTGAACGCCTGGCTCCCGTCTGGCTGCAGCCAGAGGGAAGTTCCAGGAAAAAGATCTGTGCAGCCTCTTCTGCAACCCAGTTTTTACTGCTGTGGGTCCTGTCCTGTCGGCACAAACAGCTCTGCTGATGCTCAGCTACCATCCTTTGTTGAGGATGTAGGATGCCAGGGGAGGTACTGGACCACTTCCCTTGGCACCTGCTCAGAGCTCAGCTGCATCAGCTCCCTGACAAGCATCCTCCTGCCCCCGGCTTTATGCTTCACAGAAGCCCCAATAGCTTTGCCAAACTGAAGTTCTATCAGGCTACCACCTTGCTTGGTACCAGTTCCCTCATGCTGTCTACACCCTGGAACTCCTCCCCCTCCATCACCACCACCAAGTAGTGCCTGGCTACCTGGCTACTGGATTCTTCCCGTGCCTGGACTTGGTGCACCTGTCCTCACTGGGGCAGCACTCACTGAGCCTTTGGCCTTCAGATGCTCCCTCCGAGACCTTTCTTCCCATGCCACTCCTTTAAGTCCAAGTAGGGCTCTCCTGCTGACACTTGTGTGTGCTCATGCCTGTGTCCCCTCCTACTGAGCATCTTTCCTGCTAGACTACAAGTGTGTACAGGCAGGGGTGACACTATATATTTGTCTCTGAGTACCCAGGGGTTGGCACTAACAAGCTCCCAGTCATACTTCTGGGCTATATTGGGCACCATGGTGACTGCCATCTTGTATACATGGGCTTCTATCTTTCTCTCACATACTGAGGATACAGGCTTAAAGTGGTCAGAGGACTTGTCCAAGCAAGTTACCGATAACCAAGCTAAGTATTGCCTGACATTTTTGCAGAAATGTGAACAAACATCTTCTCACCCTAAATAGGGTACCAATGACAGGCCAAGTCCAGCTCGGGGAGTTTATGGGAGGCTACACGATCATGGCTGAAGAATTACAGGAGTGTGGGTGACCCTAAAACAGCTGCATCTCCAAAAAGTCTCACCCCATCACAGATGACTACCTTATAGAAGCTGTATTGTGGGAACCCCCCTCCCCTCTTTATCATGCCCCCCTTTCAGTCAGCCTTCTGCTTCTCTACTCTGACACCTTCTGAAAACATGCACAGCTATGGTAGAATTACACAGGGCAGGATTGGGAGGATAGCAGGAAGTGTCTGGGGTCTCAGGTTGGGGGTCTCATGACCCCTCCACCCACCTTCTGTGAGGAAATGATGATAGGCCTGATCCTGAGAGAGCCTCTTTCAGGTAATCACAGCTGTTCTGATTTCAACACAGCAGCAGTCATGTGGGGCTGGGAGGACAGCATTCTGCAACACCAGGCTGCTCTGGTTCCTGGCCTCCCAATCTCTGGGATGACAATGACTGCATGTCTCAGTTTCTTGTGCTCAGTCATGGATGCTTTCAAAGCAGAAGTTTAATCCCGGTGTTCTGTGAAACCACTAAGGAGAAGCGTTCAAGTGGCAGCTAGCTTCTAGGGGGTGAATGTGGTTGTCCAGCAAAGCTGGAGCTGGGGGCTGGCCCATTATACCAAGTGACAATGTGAAGGTATAGTGGTGCATGCACACTTTTAATCCCAGCACTTAGAAGACAGAGGCAGGTGGATCTCTGTCAGTGTGAAGGGCAGGACCAGGCTGGGACCTGATTGGATGAGGTACATAGAGCAGAGGGACTTAGGGGAATGTAACAGTAGCTTTGTCTATAGTAGGGGGGAGGGCAAAGCCATGGGAAAGCCAGGTGGCAGAGAGCCACAAATGAGTTCCTAGGCTGGCTTTGGGGCTTCTGGTCACTCCTGCCTCAGCCTGCATTTTGTACAGCAATAACAGAGGAATCCAGGCCAGGCCTGCTGGAGGAGTCCTCTAATCAGGTCCTGACTCCACTTTCCTGTGCACTGTTGTGTGTCTCAGCTGGGGAGATCACAGTAGACAGATAGGACCTCTGCCCTCCAGGAGCACATGCTGATTAGGGAGATCTAAGAAAGCGGTTAAGTGACTATGGGTGGTGACAAGTGCTAAAGGAGCCTCCCTAGCCGGTGACCACAGGACAGACAAGGCTGGGATGTGAAGACCAGAAGGTAGACAGGAGCCTCGGCAGGTACAGGGGCAAAGGTGGGAAAGCACGGACTAGGAAATGTACCCAAGCCAACTCAAACCTGTTTGGGAGAGGGGAGTACGGTATCTTCTGAACTGGGTGTTTAGTAACATGCACGGCTGGGTGACCAGCCATGGGGAGTGTACGTCTACCGTGGAGATGGGCAGACATGGATCCATCCCAGCCAACCATTTGGCAGCATGCCCCAATTGGCATCTCTGGGAACCAGGAAGGAGGCTTAAGGCCCCTGAACAGGAAAGGGGAGGAGGAGGAATGCGGTGGGATTTCCCAGGTGTCTTTGTCTTGCTGCAGTGAGAGGTCTCTGGAGAGCTTCAAACAGCAGGGAAGCCTGACTTGATTTCACTTGGCCAGACAGAATCTACCACAGACTCACACCTGGAGAACAAGGCAGGGGGAGGGGTGGATGTGGAGGATGGAGGAGACGAACTGACTTATCAGAATGAGGTCTGTGCCAGACCTGAACCCAGGAGCTGAGGGAAACCCACTTCCCTGTCACAGAAGCTGAGGACCGAATTGAGGCTAGGATCAGAGAGTAGGTCTGAGCATGCCCACTGGGATCAAAGTGTGGATCTGAGCATGCCCACCTGGCCTGAGGTAGAACAGAGGAGAGCCAATCTGGCAGGTGCAGAGAAGGGCTTGGTGACCTTGCCCCTGTAATGGGCAGCTAAGAGACCAGCTTCTTTCCAAGGGGTGACAGCAGCAAGTTCCTGAGGCTCCATGCCTCTATGGATAGAGCCCATGGGCCACCCAGGATGTCCCCAGGGACACTGTAGCTCAGAAATAGCAGTAAGATTCCACAGTGCATGCTCTGCTCCTTCCAACCTTAAATGAAACTCAGAGATGCCCTGCTGCTGGCCCCTGGCTGTGTACTGTAAGATCCAGCTTGACCACTTGCTTGTTGGTAACCATGGGCTGAGCCACCACAGCAGCCTGTCAGGGTGGACACCCCTGAGCCATCCCTTGGGAAGTGAAGTCCTCGTGAAGATGGAGGGCATTGGCTGATGAGGTCCCAGGGATGGTCCCCAGCTACTGAGGAAAATGCAGAATACACCTGTCTGATGACCCCAGGGATGCCATGCAGGCAGGTGTCACTGCCCATTGATGTCTGATGAATGCAGCAACTATGTGTCTATGAAGCTCACAGGTGGAGGAAGTGGGTCTCATGCATCTTTAGGAACAGGCAGGAAGTACATATGCTAAAGACGGTTTGCTCCAAGACTAAAATACAAAGCAGGGTAAGACAGACTGGCATTGTCAGCAGCCTGTGTGGCTTGGCTGGGGAGTCACTGTGGAAAGAACACAGCTTTTGAGTAGGCTGGTCGCTTACCTAACCCATGTGCAGCAGCCAGCCCAAGGTGTAAAGCTGGGGCAGTCAGGTGGTGGAGAAGCCAGGAAGCAAACAAGTGACCAAGGCTTTCATAACCTGTGATTTAGGCTGGGGACTGGGCAGGGCAGAAGGGCCTGGGGAAGGGCCATCCCAGGCGGCATGGTGACTTTTGTATTCTAAGCCTTGTGGCACCCATTGGAGACCTGAAAGCCAAGAGGTAACATATTCTGACTGATATGTTACTGACCTACTCTGTGGCTTCTGTACTTAACTTCTTTGAATTCTACTTGAATCTGTAGAGGAAATAACACAGATAATGACAGAGGATTAAAATCTTTGTGCAGTTGGCAGAGGAGCCGATAGGCAGGAAAGCAGGTAAATGGTGACTTTCTCTCTCGTTCCATCATTATCATGGGCTGAAACTGGCAGTCACTCTCAGCACCATTCCTCACCCAAAGGGGCCTCGGACTCCCCATCATGGATATTCTGCTTGAAACCTGGATATTTTAAAATCCAAGTGCCCTGTGCTATCACCCAGAAGCAAACGGTCCTGCTAAGGGTATCACTTTGCTTTGTTCCAGTTCTCTGTCTGGGCCCAGCAGAAGTCATAACCTCATGGGCACTGACTTTCCAGGTGAAGTCGGGTGGGATGGCACTTTGTTAAGAGCACACCCAGAGAGCTGGGCTCTGGGCTCCACACACTGACTCTGGAGCTATGTTTATCACCAGCCCTCTGACTGATTGGCAGGTAGAGCTGGGATTTGAGTTCTGTCCTGTTGCTGGCATGGTATGAGCTCCCCAGCTGCTCCAGTTCTGTCTGTAGCTGTCCTAACCTTTCTTTTCTTGCTTTCCAGGGCCCTCATCTTTGTGTCCCATGGTGCTGGGGAGCACTGTGGCCGTTATGACGAGCTGGCTCAGATGCTGAGGGGGCTGAACCTGCTGGTGTTCGCCCACGACCACGGTGAGTACCCCAGTGCTGCAGAGAGCCCCCTTCTGCTCTATTCCACCCCTTCTGTCTTCCTTCTTGATTCTGTTTTCCATGGATGTATCTGGGTTAAAAATTACATGTGGTTATATAAGTGCGACAGTATGGCTGACCAGCAATCTCTGTTGTATCAGAGCCTGCCTGCAGGCTGTTTAGAAACTCAGGTGAGAAACCAAAGATGGGTGGGCGGGTTTACAGAGGAGTCTGTGCCAGGCAAGGAGTCCTATAGTGCCTCTATAAAGTGCTTCCTCTCAAAGCAGGAGCTGATTTTTCTCTCAAGGGACTTCAGATGGATACAGGAAGGCTACTCAAGTTTAATTTAAATTAACAGGATTAACAGGAGAAGTTTACAAAGTACTTCAAGTCAGGTGCATAAGAAAAGTCTCAAAAGATCACATTGGCTACAAGAACACACCAAAGACATGTGTGTGCACGTGTGTCTATATACATACATACGTGTGTGCACACATGTGTGTTTACATGAAAGCATACACATACAAAGCACTGCTACAGATTACCCGAGCAAAACAAGGAAGGGGGATTTATTCTGACCCCTGCTTTCAGAGGTTTTGTTCCATCATGGTGGAGAGGGTGAGGCTGAGCACAGAAGCTCATGGAGACCAGGAAGCAGAGAAACAGCATGCCTGCCCTAGGGCTTTCCTCTTCCCCATTTGCTCCATCAGGTCCCCAGCCTAGGGAATGGCACTGCCCACATTCTGGGGCCTGTCCTCCAACCTAGTTCATTCTCTCCTGAAACACCCTCAGACACACCCAGAGGTGTGCTGTACCAGTCTCCTGGGCTTTTCTTAGTCCAGTCAAGTTGATGGTCAAGATTAACTACCACAACATGTGGGTATGCACATGCAAAGACACGTGCACAATACACATTTACACCTGCATGTGTACATGAGTGTTGATGCACAAGCATACATGGGTACAGACTCGCATGCACTCAGACACATGTACACACATGTACACCAATTCTGGGCTTATTGCCTAAGTCAGTTTGTAGCTTCCAGCCCCATAATCTTTTTATTCCTTGTACTAGAATTTCAACCCAAGGCCTCACATGTGCTCAGGAAACACTATACTACTGAGCTGTGCCCCCAACCCCATGTGCTGTCTTTCAGTTGTTTTTTTTTTTTTTTTTTTTTTTTTTTTTTTTTTGTGTGTGTGTGTGTGTGTGTGTGTGTGTGACTGAAAAGTCTCCAGGTCTGTTTTTTTATTTTTTGTCTAAGTCTCTAAAGCTGAGTTCCCAGTGACTGAGCACAGTGATTTCCCTACAGCCTAGTATGAATCTCTGCCATTCTGCCCAGATCCAGAAATGCCATCCTGTCTATCTGATGGGAAAGTAGATAATTAAGTGATGTTGCTGGAAAGAGGGGCAGGGGAGCCATGACAGCAGGCCTGGGAGTCTCCTAGAAGGAGAGAGCTATATCTACACAGAGAGAAGCTCACAGGACACAGACTGCTGGGGGGGGGGTTGTCCACAAAGATCTGCGAATTTGATTTGCCAGGAGCCCCTTTTAAGCCAGATGTATGCACGTGTCCTGGTAATTGAGATTATTGACTAAATTCTTCCTTGTTACAGCTGTGATAGTCTTAGTGCCCTGCAGTCTACCCTGGTAATGTTTGTGAGACTGTTGTTTGAGAGGTAATATTCCAGGGTTATCCCTGAAGCTTTTGCTGTAGGGACTGTGCTGTTATTAAGCCCAGTTCTCTGCACACTGGAGAAGCCCGAGACAGGAATACTCTGAACTGCTGCATTATTCTCCATTAAAATCAGTTGCAGTTGTCGTTATATATGGGAGATACCCTTGAAAGATCTGTTGCACTGGGCACCCCAAATCTCAAGCATCCGTCTTACAGCTCAGTGTCAGCTAGCTCATGAGATAAACTCGGCCGGATGAAGTCAGTGGGGCTTTGTTTACTTTGCTTGACTATGATGCTTGGATAAACAATTTTAAAAGGCTTCCTTTTTTAGAGTACAGGAAGAAAAGAAGCAGCCCACCTTTTGATGTTTCCAGAAAAACATCTGAAGTTAAGGCAAAGCTCTGCGTGACGTTCTAAAAGTAGGGTGGGAATAGTTGTATTCACTCGTTCCAAGTTCCCTGAATGACGCATCGGAAATATCTCTGTGTGTGCCAAAGGAAAGAGTCTGATTCAGAAATGAACCCGGTTGAGTGTGTACATATGTGTGTGCACATACACATGTGTATGCATGTTTTCATATTTGTGTACACATTTGCAAATGTATGTGCATGTGTGTATTGCATATGTGTGTCATTTGCTATCTGTGGAATGGAAGTCACTGTGGTTTTTTTGGGGGGGGAGAAAAACCCAGGCCAGTGGGAAGGAGTCTTGAAGACTAGTGATCCTGGCTTTATTTCCTTTGGCTGACAATGTGACGTAAAGAGGAAGGATTTGGATCCAGGACTTCTGATTCTAGAGTTCAGCCTACTTTCTAGGCGTGGACTTTGTGGGAACATACACAGCCCAGGACTGCTAGTTATAGAGCTTAGCCTACTCTCTAAGCATGGGCTCTTGCAGGAGCGTATATATTCATCTTTCCAACACACTTTTACATTTAAATAAATCACATATTGGGAAAATGCCAGGACATTATTATGGTACTTGGAGGAACACTAAGGCGTAAAGGCAGAGAGCTGAAAACTCAAAGGACTTGTGGTCTCTCAAGGGTCAAGACAGCCTACCTCTTTCAGTCAAGTCATCACCCAGCCCAAAGTTGCAACCACATAGCCTTCTCCCAAGACAGGGGGCACAGCCTCCCATACAGCAGAAGTCCCCACTCTGGTGAGTCCAAGCCTCTGAGTGGTCCTTGCTGAGCCATCCCAAGCTTTCAGTTTTCTTCCCTACCATGTAGGCCATGGGCTGTCAGATTGCAGAGATCACATACGGAAAGGGCCTGGGGGGGGGGTTCCTTCCTCTCTAGGATTCTTGCAGTCACAGGGTAACTGTGCTGTGCCCCCAAGAGGGTACATCCCCAAGGCTCTGAGCAGGGCCAGCACAGCTGAGGCTATGAGTCTGGGATGGGAGACCCTCACCCCTGCATTGCTGTCTTCAGTTGGTTCACTCAGACCTGCAGAAGCCCTGGGAAGAAGCAAATGAAGCTACAGGCAGGAAATGCTTGACAAAACAACTGGAGCAACCTGCAGCAGCTTCAGTGCTGCCTTCGACAGAGCCATTTACACAACTGCCGGTGTCTGTAAATCTGACGCTGACCCTGAAATGGCGTGGGTCTCCCTGCTCAGCCGCCTGCTGGCTTCTAGGTGCGTCTGAGGCTGTGCCGTGGCCCTCTGTCTGTCCATGTTTCTCAGCCTTCCTCTAGACAGTGCTCAATTAAGTATCCAATTTACCTTTGTTTTCTATTTTAACCTTTGGAGTTTGCTAGGATGGTTTGGACAACTTACCTGAGGGAAAGCCATTGATGCCTGTTAGTCACTGAGTGTCATCAGCCTACCCCACTTTAGGCACTTTTCCTATGTTATCTTGCATTCTTTCTAAGGATTGATATTACCATCCCCATTTCACAGGTGAGGGATCTGAGGTAGGATAACCCAGGACACTGTTCCCTTTGTACCAGAACCATGTGTTGTCCTACTGTGTGGGATTGAATGCCACAGAGTCATGCAGGACATGCAGAGGTCTGTCCAGCAGATCTTACTTATCTGTGGAGTTCATCTCCATGGACCCTGCCTCAGCCATGTGCTCTCACGCAAGGAATACCAAACAGGAAATCAGGGGAGGAAGGGGCTAGGCTCAGACGAGGACAGCAAACTTTCCTGAGTGATCCATAGCAGGCCCCAGCTTCATCTCACTGGCTGGCACTGCCTCCCAGCTGTTAACTGCTGACCCAAACAGCACAGGGATCCTGAGGAAAAAGAAAGGAGAATGTGGTCGTGGCTGGCAACTGCTTGTCTGCACTGTACCATACTTGCAGCATTTCTCCAGCAATTCTATCCTGGGTATGTTCTGAATGCTCTGCTGAGACACACCTATCTCTCATGTCATCTGAACACATGCTTTTCTATAAGGTCTCAGTAACCATTATACTAATGTTGGCAGAGTATGAGTTCAAGCTCCTCACTGCATGTTTGCTTTGGATGGGGTGTTGTGCAAAGAGAGGTACATACCCAGTGACTCACAGCCCAGTCTGTCCAGTCCCCAAAACTAGCAATCTTTCTCTAAGTGCATATGGTACTCCTGTGCTAGTGGTGATGGTTCCTTCATGGTTGAGAGGAATACAGACTGTCTCACTGTGCTGTCCATTAGCTCCTCTCTCTGTCCTGAAACTGCCTCATCATCCACATTTGACTCTGGGACTGGATGGAAACAGCCCCAGTGTTTGTTGAGGAGCTAGAAGAGTTTGTAACTCAAATTTGACCAGACCAGAAATGTTTCAGATGTGAGTCATGAGATGTCTACCTTGAAGTTTCCAAATGACAGGCTATGGTCAGGATTTATCACTGTGGAATGGATCTGGCAAGGAGGCCACTGGTCCCCTATGTCTGGTGGACAAGGGTTAGGGGAGCTCGTAACTGTTGTGATTGTGTGGCCTTACCTCCCCTGAACAGAAAAGCCACAGACCTGGTATGTGAATGCTGAGGCATTGACCCTGGGCCTCTGAGGCACAGAGACATCCCCAGATCCTGCAGCGTTAGGGCTGTCAGGATATTGGGGCCTTAACATATGAATAGGAGTTTTCTGGGAGAAGGGAGGACAGTAGCTATGGGGAACCCTGTCTCTCTAAGCTGTTGTTGAGACCTCTGGGGAGCCTTGATGGAGACTGACACCTGCCTCCCTCATCCCTAGATCCTGTTGTCTTTAGTTTTTGGCATGGTCCAGGCACTGGGGTTCTTGATCACCCCAGAAGAGTCTATGGCAGCAGGGGTTGAAAGCCAGGTTGAGAGAGACCACACAGACAACAAAGTCCCTCTAACCTGTGCTATCACACA